GCTGTGATGTTGCATTTTTTCTTAATTGTATAGTAAGTGTTGTTTATGTATCTTGTATTATATTGTACATGTATTGTGTGCTTTTTCTTTTCTTTTCTTTTCTTTTCTTCTTTTTTAAATTGTAGTTTTACTGCCTGTTTCACATCATGGCCAGGCGACTACAGATGAAAACTAGCCTTCTGGCTAATTCTGGCTTTTTTTAACCATGTGTAATCATGTGTTTTATGAAATTGCAGTGTCCCCTTTTAAATAAACTAATCTAATCTAATCTAATCTAAGCTACCTCAGGGAAATTGTTGATTTGATTGACTTATCAGTAGTTTCAAATTCTTGGGCACCCTTAGAAGATCTGAAACGGACTGTCAACACCAACATGCTGGTAAAAAAAAAAGCCACAGCAGCAGATATGAAAACACTCAGAAAGATCAACCTGTCCCAACACCTGCTTGTGGCCTATTATCACAGTAACATCGAGAGTCTTGTGACTCATGGCATCCTGACATAGTACAGGAGTTGTTCTGCAGCAGACAGAAAGGCTCTGCAGCAGATTATAAAAACTGCACAGAACATCACAAACTCCCAACAACATCTTCGCCACTCGTTGCCTGCTGAAGCCACTTAACATCATTAAAGACGCTCCACCCCCTCATCCTGTCGTATTGGCCTGAGTGCATTTGGTACTGATGTGAGTGTGTGATGTTTCAGAGTGTTGTGTGAATCAGTGACTGGATGTTTCTGTGTGACATTGTTTTATTGTTTTTGTTACTTATTTCATTTACTCTCTCTTTTTTATGAGTCCGTGTCCCAACTGTGCATCTTAATTTCGTTGCAAACGCGTGTATAACGACAATAAGGAATCTTGAAATTATCCTGAGACAGCGTCGAGATTTAGTTTATTACAAACCTGTAGCATCAGACAGTGGCAAGTGTCCCCAAAGAGAGAGGGCTCACAGAGCAGCAGTAGCTTCATGAATTACATTAACAGAAAAGTGACCCACGTCTGAATGACTACACTTTCATGGATTGTTAAAGCCAGCAACGCTCCATGTCCCGTGTCTGAAAGGGGCTTTAGTTGCACAGTTCAAGCCGTACATGTGACCTCACACCTCTGTAAGTGATGTTGAGATGCAACATGAAGGTTTTTGTTGTGTTTTGCGCGCTATATAAATTCAATAAAACTGCACTGAACTGAAACCTCCACCACCACACTGTGACGTACATGCCAGGTTTTGTGATGCCTCTGTCGCCGGGGTCGTAGGAGTCGATGGCGGCTTCCAGATCCAGCAGTATCTCTGTCACGGGCAGAAAAGAAAAACAGTTTGGAAAAATCAGATCATGATATAATCACAATAAGTTCTCAAATAAGGATCATATACGTGTTTCATACTCTAAAGAATACTTACGCTTGATTTTAGCAATGGTGGTTATATCAACTTTTAAACCTGAAACAAAGGAAAATATTGATAATGTTCATGTAACCTATGCAGGAATACCAAAGTAAACAACAAGCCTCGGGTGCTCAAACTTTTAGAAGCGCTACTATAACTGGCTACTGGATGTCGGTAGCCAAACATTGCGTACATTAAAAAAAAAATAAAATCGACCTTTGTTTTTGAAATGTGAATGACTTCAACGTTTGAGAAAGTTTCTGACCAGAGCTGAGGGATTCTACATTGAAGTCTTCAGAGTCTCCACGGCCGGCCTCTTTGGCCTGCTCCAGCAGCAGCCTGTCCACGGCGCTGATGGCCGACGTCACGTCATACGGAGTCAGGTCAAACGAGGTCGACTCTTCACACGTCTTCTCCTGCGGACAACAGAAGCTTCATCGGATCGAACGTCGTGCCTTCTATGAGAACTCGGGCGTGTCTTAATGATCCTGAATCTGTAGTCGCACAGTCCGAAGAGTTTGCAACCTTCTGTAAAATCAATGCCATGCCAGTTTTGCGACTTGTAATTTAACGATCAAAATTGTTGACTTGGACTGGACAGTAAACGTGCAGCACCTGAAGGCCTCACTGGGCTCCAAAGCAGCGGTTTCAAGCAAGACAATTTTCTATGAACCGGTCATTGCGCACGTAACAAATAATAATAATTTCTTCTACTTTTTAATTGCTAAATATGTATTTACTTTCTCTCAGCGTCGAGTCTCTCCTTCTTTTTAAAGAAGCTCTCCAGAGAAGTTTGTTGCCTAAGCGGAAGTGACGGGAAGACGAGCCAGAAACAGAAGAAACCAATAAAATACTTTCATTCTTTCTGTGTGGCCCGGTAGTTGGGGACCGCTGCTCTGAAGTGTTTGGTTCATTGCTTAATAGTGTCCGAAAACCCTCTTTAAGAAGATAAAATGTCAAACATACTTTTCCAAACCCGACAATCAGAACAACTTCAGGTGTGAGCGAGTGCATGGTTTGATGTTCCCTCTTTAGCTCCTTTTTTCATTCTTCACAACTACTTCATTCACTTTCTGTGTGCACAGTTGAGTGAAACATAATGAAGTGTGTGCTGCTACCTGATACGATTAATCACATTCAGACTATAAATAAATACATATATAGATTAAGTTAGGAGAATCTCACAGCAGGTTTTTAGATCTCACTGGTCAGTGTGGCCACTCTGGACGAGAAACAACAGTCTCTGTATTAATAACCAATGATGTGACGCGTTTGGACACTGGCAGAGAGCAAACATGTCCAGGACACAATCATACCACGTTGTGAGCTTCGTCAAAGATGACCACCGCACCGTTCAGCTCGATGTTGTGCGCCCTGCGGCTCTGTGGAACAAAGGGGGAGGCGAAAAAAAACGAACGTTAGCATGTATGTGGATGTGCAATGAGGTCAGTAATCATGTACCTCATAGCTATTATCTGTAAGGTTTCCTTCCCAGTTGGCAAAGTAAGACGAAGCAAGAAACTACCCCATTGCTAACACAAAAAAAAAGAAATAAAACAATGTAGGACACATGTATGTGATGCTGTGGTGCTGCTGCTGGAGTCAGAAATAAATGCAGCTTTACCTTTACCAGTGGCTGACATCATTCAACATATTAAATATTATTAGAATTCTTTATTTCCAACAGAACATGACTCCAACGGTCACCTAAAACTTGAAGATTAGCGCTAACTTTCAGTTAAACTACATACAGACATGTCAACCTCAGCAGGAAATTTAGCATTTTACATTTTCTCATTGCTTACTGTTCTCTTACTGCATATTATTTATCTGTATTTACGGTGGTGGCAACCTTCCTCTTTCTGCCGTATAAAGTATTTCTATTCTGTTCTATAAATAAGCTGAGCCTCTGCATTCACAGAAACCCGGCGTCTGTGTGTGTGTGTGTGGGTGTGTTGACTCACCTTTGGATCCAGCAAGTAGTTGTAGGGCATGAAAATGACATCCGCCTGCTGCTTCAGGGAACGAGAGAGGTAGTAAGGACAGACCCTGCAAAAAAAAGAAAAAAAGGTTCAGATATGAATGGAATCGTTCTGGAAACTGTAAGAAAGATACGCCTAAAACAAAAACTGATGAAAATACGTAAACTTTACAGCCTGATTGTTGACCTCAGAAGTTCTTTACTTGACCCCAAAAATATTTTAACTTAAAGAACAAAACCTAAAGTGTCTTACAGCCAGAAGAATGAGACTTAATGCGAGATTACAGAATTAATCCTCCACATCACCATGAAAATAGTTAAAATTTGTATTCCTAGAGTACTTCTTTGTTAAATAATTCTGCTTGAGAATCTTGTGACGCATGATGATAATTAAACTGAATCTTGAATAGGCTTTTTTTTAAAGCCCGTTTTACATTTTAAACTCCTCATATTAATTCATATTGATTGAGGATTATAGCTGCACACACTTACTTGCAGATTTCTACAGCCTACTTATGAATTATGTTCTTATTTAACGCGCTCTCAGATCGATTCACACGGCAGGGTTGCAGCTGAAGCAACAAAACCGGAGGAAGAAAGCTCAGCAGCATGTTCATTTAACAGAATACACAGTTCGTGTAGTTACAGTCAGATCTACAGTTGACCTCAAATGTATTCATACCCTTTCAATAAAGAAAAGGCAAAATTCACAATAGTCACTCAAATAACTAGAAACTAAAAAAAGTAATAATAAAAAAAAATTTGCTAAATTACAATGCAGTGAAATAAGACAGTTCTTTTGAATTGTGGTTAAAAAGAATAATTTTAAAAAACAAAACTGTCCTGGACAAATGAGAGCATTTTGCTGATGAGCAGTGAAATCCAAACACCTGTCAACAGGTGCAGACATCTGACTGAGAGTTACAGGAAACACCTGATGATGGCAGTGATTGGCTCAAAGGGTTGTTCAACTAAATATTAGTTTACGGGTCCCATCATACATTTTTTTTTTTTTTTAATATATTTCTGTTGAACCATAATTCAAAAACAATTTCATGATTTCCATAAAATTTTTATTTATTATGACTTTTGTCAATTTGTACTCATTTCAGTGACAGCTCTCTTTTTCCTTCTTTATTGGGAGGGTATGAATACATTTGAGGACGACTGTATTTGTAACATAACAATTTGGTAGCGATGAGCCTGTTAAATCTGCATTTCTTTGCAGTCTGTTCTACGAGTTTAGAACCTTTGTATGTCTCTAATATTTTCTGCTTTTTTTTTTTCTTTCTAAAATACATCCCCCTGGTGCTCGTAGACGTGTCCATGTCTGTGATAATATGAAAGCGCTCAGATAGCTTCCCAAACACTGGTTGAATTAGGCTTAGTTGACACGTAGCAGGGTATCTCACAAAACGAAGATATTTTTTTATGATTTGGCCTGTCATCCACACCAAAACACTGATTGATGGCTTTAAAAACGATTTTTTCGGGCGCCTGGATAGCTCCGCGGGTAGGGCAGGCGACCCATATACAGGGGCTCTAGCCGACGCAGCGGCCCGGGTTCGATTCCACCCAGCGGCTCATTTGCTGCACGTCATTCCCCCACTCTCCTCCCCACGTTTCTCTGTCATTAAAGGCGGAAAAGCCCAAAAATAAATCTTTAAAAAAAACAAAAGTGAAGCTCCGCGAATCCTCCGTTTATGCGTCTGTATGTGGACGTCAATAACCAGGTTTTAGGTTTTAGGTTTCGAAACGTCACATATGCAACCTGTGTTTACATTTGGAAACAGCGTGGACGCCCTCAGAACTGTGGTGGCGTTGTCTCTTGTCCAGGTCCAGATACCGCTCCACGTACAAGAACACAGGCGAAGGACGACGTTAAGGACGGTTATTTTCCGTCACCTCGCCATTCCACGTCTGAGGCATGTTCTCCGTCAAAGACACGGACGCTGATTTTGGGTCAGACCAGGACGCACTGCCAGCTGGTGGGAGAACTTTGAGACGGAAATCATGCTCCCGGAGGAATGGCGTGACAATTTCTGTAGGTTCCTGGTCGACGCTCCTGTCGTCGGAGTTATTACATCCTCACATAGAATATGTGGTTAGGTGTGGATGAATTTTTTTCTCAAAACAAGGTGGGGTGTACGTGCGTTTTTTCTAGACGGAGGGGGCAGGATATTCGGTTTTACAAAAACCCTGCTACAAGGCCTTAGCAAGGTATTGGGGGTCAATGTTAAGACGCTTGTTACGTGGTTGTTACGCTGCTCAGAAATATGGCTAGCCAGGTGACCCTATCTTATGGTTCTAACCTCTACACTGTAAATTTGGGGACAGTCACAGCCTGAATGACAAAATTCAGAAAATCCTGATTGATTGATTTAAAACATTAAATACTGCAACCAATCATTGTTGAAGCCCATTAAGTGTCTGTTTGGCTGGATATCTAAATAAAAGCAGGTCATAATGTTATTAGCAAAACAGAAAAGTACATAAAAGTTAACATGGAAATCCTACCTCTGCTTGTTGCCAAATTTGACCAAATCTTCCACGTCCAGGATTGAAGTCGCCAACTCTTTGTCGGTGCTTTTCTCTAAAATGTGAAAAGATATTTTAGCATTTAACCAACGCAGATGTTCAAAACACTCCATCAGTCCTGGAAAAACACAGCTGTTGTCAACTGTTACCTTCAACATTGTTGTAGAAGACACACGATCTGGTGGAAACTTTCGCTCGGCACATATGGACCTGAGAAAAACAGACAATTACACAGAGAATTATATTATATGTTGGTTTAGTGCCCCTTTTTCATCTCCAATACCAAAACACGGACGTATTAATCGAGCTCATATGGTGTCACCACAAAAAGGTCCTAAAGTACTCTCCCTGCTCACTTATAATTCTGGGATTTTCAACACCAGAGTTCAGGAAGATCGATAGCAGCAGTAGGAAGCTTGGACGATCTTAACATTCTATTTTGATTTGATATAACAGCAAAATTATTCTTCAAGAAAACAAAAGAGGGAAATTACTCTTTGATTCAAATAAATTATGTTAAAACATAGCAACGTAGTGGTTTTGAGACTATGCAGCTGCTGTGCAAGTTAATGGGGCTCCAGCCTGAGTTTAAACACTGGCTGCAGCTGTTGTCTTGTTTTTTATGGTAAATTAGTTGCACCAGGTCATCATTTAAGTGCTTCCACATTTTTTCACAACGCCTTTTGCTTCTGTTGTGATGACGAGGAGGCCACGACACCTCGTCATCTCTTGGAGGCCATCTTATTCTGACAATAACAAATAAATAAAAACCATCATTTAATAATAATAATAATAAGTCGCCTACTCCAGCTGCTCCTCCACAGGAATGTGCATGAACGATGGATGGGCAGCCAGCAGCAATGACTGGTTGTGGCATTCACAATGAGCTTGGCTACTTGTCAACCCCTCTGAAATGAAACCAATGCTGACCCCCTCCCCAAACCAAAAGTGGCTCGATCCCCGACATAATTCTGTGCAGACATGATATTAGCATCAAACACCCGGAGCACTGCAAGCACCGGTGGCAAATAAAAACAGGCACCATTACTGAAACATCAATAAAAGAACATAAAGGGCGTTAAAACATCTAAAAAGATGCACTTTATAAATCATTATTGTCTCCAAAAAGGCAACAAGGGTTCAGCTTAACCAGTTTCTGCAGCACGCAGTTAAACTAAAACACCAACCTGCATCAACTCAGCTTTATTTCTCATGAACATAATTCCTTTCCGCCTTAAATCGACTGAGATGTAACCAATCTCCATGCATCGTATGCTGCCACCTTTTGGCCACCTGCCGTAAATTCCGGACTATAAGCCGCGACTTCTTTCACACGCTTTGAACACTGCGGCTTAAACGACGATGCGGATAATTTATGGATTTTTACTATTTTTATGAATTTGCCTCAAGACGAAAGTGACATTGAGAGCGACAACGAAAAGGAAGTGTGTGACCTTTGCTGCATCTGGCACAGGGTGTCTTGAATCTGTACAATGAAGTCTCAAGACTATCAGGGTGTTCTAGAGAGAAATGTGCTGCCCAGTGTCAGAAAGCTTGGGCTCAGTCGCAGGTCATGGGTCTTGCAACAGGATAATGACCCAAAACACAGAGCAGCTAAAAACACCGAAGAATGGCTCAGAGGAAAACATTGGACCTTCTCTGAGCCCTGATCTAAATCCTATTGAACATCTGTGGAAGAAGCCGAAACATGCCACCTGGAGAAGGCACCGAGCAGGAGGAAATGTGGAGAATCTGTCTGCATTTGGGATGATTTGGATGATAGATGACTTGCTCGATGAAGACTTTGTTTAAAGTGAAGAAGAGCTGCGCACCGTCGACCTCGCTCTCTCGTCCAAGACCATCTAGATCCAGTGGCAAGACCAGGTCAAGACGACTGGAGACAGAAACGGTTGCAGTGGATGACCTAGATGTCCTCCATCTTGGCCTGTGCACTCCACAGCGCCTTGCTGTAACCGCCTTCTTCTCCGTTGAACGCAGAATCCGCCGGAGTCCAATCTTTGTATGCGTAGGTAGGCAAGCCCTAACTCACCGAGAGTTTGAGACCCGTCGGCTACCCTCACTTGGTCTTGTCGGTCAGTCGAAGCTGTTGCCCGGGGTGTGGCCGCTGTTGCATACAAACAGCTACTAGGAGCCACAAGTGAGAGCTGGGTGCAGGTGGGGACCAAAGCGGACCAACTACACCGAGGAGTACGACTGTTGCCCCTTCAGAGGTATTACCCATCCCATGCACTCCCATAATTCAGCCGACGTGGCAACATTCATTCATTCATTCATTTTCTATACACCGCTTAATCCTCATTAGGGTCGCGGGGGCCGACATGGCAACAAAAACCTGAATTCACAAGAATGTTGTAGCGTACCTTCACGTGGTTGCTCTCCTGACTCATGACCTCCTTGTTGATGCACAGCTGCTCTCGTGATCCCAGCACGCACACCTTCGGCCTGGATCAGAAAGACAAAACGAAGGGCTTCAAAATGAATGTAACTGTAAATTAAGGTCAGTTAATGTTTCTGCAATCAGTCGGAAAAGTAATCTACAAGTAATCCTATGTAATAAGCTACACAGGCATATACATTTCTTTGGAGAGGTAATTAAAAAGCAACACGACTTATTACCATTTTTCACAGAGTAACTAGGAATCAGTAATTTATTACATTTCAAAACCTTCCCAACATTGCTGATGCATGGATTTAGAACATCTGAATAACAGCGGGGTCAAAATCTCGATTTTCAGTGTTTAACAGTTTTTTTCTGAAGTTATCTAAACATTAAAATCACACGAGAATTTAGTCTGAAATACGTTTGACCCCGACCTTGTCAAATTCATCGTGCATAAGCCAGAATATGTGTGAGATCTTGTAAATGCCAGTTTACCTGTACGAACTGTTCTTTAACTCATTGATGACCTGCGCGAGCTGCGAGTGTGTCCTCGACGCGTATATGATCTTGGGAACGTCGGTGTAGAAGGCTGCAGGACAATAAGAACAGAAGCGTTACGACATATTGAAGAAGCATTACCGTCTCGTGATGTAGAGGTACTGGGTCGGCTGCTGCTTCTCCATTCCGTAAAGGGGTGAATGAAAATGTTGTTCATGTGATACTGATGCAGGGTTACTTTCTATCAAACTGCACCGTCAACAGACCTGCCTCTTTAAACATACACCCAAAGCTGTTCTAGCATCCCACAGTGACTTGGGATACCACTGTTAGAGTCACCAGTCTCTCTTTAAAGTGCAGTATTTACATTTATATCAAGGTATCTGCTACATACAGCAGATCCAAAGCCAGAGTCAGTGAAATAGGTGACTAATCACTGAAGTCCAGCCAACTACTTTATTATATCAGAATCAGAAGTACATTATTTATCCCCGAGGGGAAATTCTTTTTTGTTACATGCACGAAAAGTAAAAGAAAAACAAGAATAAAGAGATACATAAAAGGTAATAGATAAATAAATGTCCAAGTACAAAAAACATCAACCTCTAAAAAACAACAACAACATATTTACACACACACACACACACACACACACACACACACACACACACACACACACACATATATATATACAGTTTAGGTGCAGATTGTATGATTGTGGAAACATTTTTATGAGTCAAATCTGTGTGAATCAGAAAATTAGCGGGTTTAATGAATGACTCAGTGAATTAATTCTCATTGTTCACATCGTGCTTTTAACAGCACGAACTGACTGTTTGTTTGATTGACTGAAAAGTTTGATTGATTTGATAATTTCCCATGTTTTGTTATTTAATAGTTACTACTGACATAGTTGTGGCATTTTATCATCTATAACCAACACAAAGGCTAAAGAAAACCTGGGATTAAAAACATTTCTCTTTAAAATAACCTTCAGAATAAGAATGTGTTTATCTTTGTAGCCAACAACACAACACCATCGCTGTCTTGACAGATCTTACAGGGAATGTGTCAATAATGTGTCACACCTCATTGACACACAGTCGTCTTTTTTTCCCTCAATGTGAATATCAACACAACAATAGGAAAATACTGTCCAAGAACTTTTCCAGAGCTGAACATTGTCAGGGTCTCCTCACATCCTCTCCATGAACTGTTTGAACTGCTGCCATCAGGCAAACGTTTCCGGAGCATTAAAGGGAGAACCTCTGGCCTGATCAACAGCTTCATTCCACAAGCTGTCAGAATGCTGAACTGCTGATCCAGATATGCAAACACTTCTTTATTTACATTTCTTTAAGTTATTGGATCCTGAAGAAACGCTCTCTCATCTTGCCTGTCCTACTGTGTATGTACAGCAAAATGACAATAAACTTGATTTGATTTGACACTTGGTATTGGCAAGTTGTGCAGCTAATGTGGCTAACGTGATCGTTAGAGCTCTGATTGCGTGCTCACAGGTCAAACATGTGTAATATATGTAAAGCTAAAGTTCCACTTAAAGAAGGTCGAAACTTGAAGACGGATTCAAACCAAATAAACAAGCACCGTGTGGGTTACTGGGTTTTCATATTGTGCAACCTCAACTCTGTTTACATCTGTTCGCATTTGTCCTGCAACCTGGGCTCATAAAATCTGCATTTTAACAAAGCCGAACACCCAGCAGTGGCTTTTTGGTTATCAGAGCGATGCAGTCATGGTAAAATGAACAATCTCTGCAGTGTTTTTGGGCTGAAACATTGAAAGATGCACAGACGTTACGATTCAAACATACTTGGTTTGTCACCATCAGTAGCAGCTGTTCCCCAGGAGGACAGAGGCGTGTCTGGGAACATCTCCGCTCCGCCCAGCCTCTCTGCTATCTTGCGGGCAGAGATGGTGTCCTTGAAGTGGTCCCTCCAGGCCAGAGTGGCACAGAGCAGGCACAGGGTTTTACCGGTTCCCGTAGGACTCTCCAGAACCCCGTTTACTTTCTGGGGAAAACAGGCGGACAGTTAATCTTTTTGAGAGCTTTTGTCATATTGTACTGAAAAAACCTTCAAGTAATTTTTTCTTTTTTTTAGTAAAATAAGAATTCCACTGAATGTTCTTGTTATCAGTTTTGGCATTTGTTTCTCATGATGTTGTTATTCTGACAGAAACAACCTGAGCAGTACCGTTACCATTTATTCAAATACAGTCAAACTAATGGACTGGAGGTGTTTTTGTGATCGACACAGATTTAGGAGAAGAACGAGCACAAAGAAACTACCTTGTTTTATTGTACTTATTATTTATTAGGCTTTTTCTTTAAAAAAAAACAGGACCTGAGTACTAACTTCGTACCACAAACATGTGAATGTGACGAATAAAGTTCTTGAATCCTTGAATCCTTGACCAAATGTTTCCCGGCGAATTCTCATTTTTGCTTTCAGGCATCAGATTTTATTTTTTTGCTTTTATTTATGAGTTTAACAGGGACACAAACACTCGTAAACACCGCCATAAATGCACCAAAGTTAAGAGGCTGTTTTGTTTTTGTTTTTATTTTTTCGCCCATACCTGCAAAGAACATAAGACTGAACATACTGACATCACTGATCAATAACAACAAAGAGAAATGAGAGAATTATAAAGTTTATTTAATTTCTTTGCACTCTGATGACCCTGAACTATGGGCAGAAATGAGTGCCACCAGGAACTGAACCTGAATGACTCATATTTGAATTTTTTTTTGTTCAACTTTTAAAATTGAAGTTGTATTCCAATAATCTTGAAAGCGAATGTAATGGGTTGAAATTTAATTCTGTTGCTCTGAATTTGTATTGAATCTTCACTGAAAGTTCAACATATTTAATGATTTATTTATTTTTGGTTGGTTTAATTGGTGAAATTCAGATTCAGGGTTCTGTCACACTGTGCCGCACATCCGGGTCACTGAGGAAAAGCAACAGAGCGCAGATCCACAGAGCTCAATCAGCTGATCAGCATGTAAACAAAGTGAAGCTAAAGCACCTTAGAAACTGCACCGGCTGGTGGAGTCGTGGTATTAGAGTCGGAACCTGAGTGTGAACGATTATTGCAGTATTTTTAGGCAAGTTAAGTGTGTGTTTTATGAGCTAATCACTTATTAGCGAGCTAGTTAAGACAAGCAGGCTAACGTGCGCTGTTGTTTTTTTATTTTAGATAATAATAGGAATGTGAAATAGCCTACTGTGGCTGAAGAAATTGTTCTGCTGTGCTTGGCGAAGTAGCACTAGTTAGTTGGGGTCATGAAAAACCGACGAAACGTCTCAGAACTAGTCTCGCCGGTTAAACTGAACGCATGTTAAACTTGCGCAGCGTTCAACCAGCTGCTTGTCCAGCTGGTTTACGTTATAAAGTGTACATATAAAGTGTGTACTTACCTTCTGAAGACATTCAATTACTTTGTTCATGTAGTCCTTCTGACAGTCATATGGAGGAAATGGGAAATTCACTGTCACTCCATTCAGGGTCAGCGAAGTCATGGTCGCCTAGCTTAAGCGGGCAGTAGCATCAAATGAAGTTTCAAAAATGCCGTACTTTGGGGATATCCCTTTAAACTGCGGGAAAGCTGTCACTTTTCAGCACCTACAACAAGTCTCAGCTAACCCTAGTGGGAAGTAGTCCAGACACAACTCCATCTGCTTCGCGCCAGCTTTCTGTGTTCAGCCAACTGCGCATGCGTGCTATGACGCTGCCGTGTCCATGTGCTGCGTTCAAGGTGTCGCAGAATAAAGAACACATCAAGTAGATTTTGACTGTTGCAGGAAAAAAAATAATACACAATATTTGTTTAGTCATTGCTTTCCTTTTACAGATGTCTTTTTATTTAGAAATATAAGTTTTGCGGTTTGAAAAACATCTTTACTATGTCAGATGTGACACATTGATGGGAGGATAGATGAGTAAATGTGTACAGGCATGCAGAGGAAGAAATGCTCACCTTCTAAGATCGGTGTGCCCTTTCAAAAGCTGAGCACACCTTGTATTCTTGAAAGCCTTTGATTATCTCTGGGACTAAAAGTGGTAACATAACACATACAACCCCACTTTATACGGTCCATGGGAGATATGGCTAACTTCACGTCCATTTCTCTATTAGAGCTCATGTTTCAGGTTTTGTCACTGCGTTGGCTGTTGTTAAATGTAATTCATTGCTTAATTGATGCACAACAAAATTATCAAAATTTGTCTGGTCTTAAAAATATGTTTTTCTTTTAAATTGAAAACAACAAAATGGAAAAGCAGCGTGTTTACCAAAATAAACCCAAGCAGCTAGCTTTATGAATGCCACATTCATGAGAACTGGGGTATTTCAGCTTAGTGTATCAGTTTTCCCATTCTTTAATGTTAAATTAAAAAATGTCATTATTTGAAGGGCTGTGTATTAAACTTCAGTTATTCTTTGGAATAACTGTAGGACTAAGAGCTGAAAATGGCCAAATACTGAAAGCTGGCATCAGCTGTTTCCATTGTCTGCATTTAGTTACCGATTCAGTGAAACTGCAGCTTCAAGAAGTTCTTGATCACACACAGTAATTACATAATTCAACAAGCGCATCGTTTATTCTACCATAGTGACATACAATAATTAGGAAATACAGTGGGGGGGTTCTTGAACGTCCGACTACTTTTCAGCGGTGGGCAGAATGATCTTGCTTGGGTCGTAGTAGTTCTCCTCTATGACAGGGAGACCCGCCTTCTCTCTCTGCTTGATTATTTGCTCTGCCTCCCTTCTGGCCCACTTCCGCATGCTGGAACATACAAGACAATACAGGGACATAGTGAGGAAGACAGAAGGAAACTTTTAACCATACAGCAACAATAAACTCATTTTTTTTTAAAGACAGTAATCTGTATGTTCAGTTACAACATTTGCTGAACAACCAATTTTAATATGACCACAACTTTTTTTTCAAAACAACAATGTTTTTGTGGTTACTCAAGACAGAAGAGTGTCACAACCTATTGAGAAATGGTCTGAAATTCTCTTAAAAAGTGCCTACAAATCTCGGATATTACTCTGTGTCATGACATACGCAACACTCAAAGGAGAAATCTTGTAGCAACTGAAACGGAATACATTTGCATATTCATGGTTTGTTGAGTTTTCATTGAGAGAGGATGTGTGAATGTCATTGTAAGACTTTTTAAACAGGTAATTAAACGTATTTTAATGGGAAAACCATAAGATACAAATAATACTGACTGCTGACTGTCACCTTTGAACAATCATCAACTGAAAACAGTTAACAAGAGAGCAGTATACATGGGAGTATCCATCCATCTCACTGCAATGTTTGTTTGTTTTTTTGTAACTTTATTTTAACATAGAAAAACACGACAAGTCTGCTTTTGAAAGTTATAGTCAGGTAAAGGTGAGGATTTTTGTATTGAAAAAAAAAAAAAAAGCACAAAACGCTGCATGAGTCTGTTACTGTGTCCTTCAGCAGGAAACCTTTGTTGAGCAGAAACAGAAAGAGTGAAAATGGCTTAACCACGGTCTCCTCGTATGTGAGCAGCTATGAGAGCGTGAAAGACTGAGAACTCACCCGTGGTCTGGTAAATAGTGGAGAAATGTTCCTCCGATAACAACAACCACTGAAATGCCCAGGAAGAAGCCCACTTTCATGTTCCACTCATCCTCCACCGGATCCGCGGAGAAGCCATGATAATCTGGATTCTGACAAAACACAAATAGGACGCAAGTGATGAAGAAGAGGTATGTTTTCGGTCAGGCTTATGCAAAATAAACCAATATTTATTTGATGTTAGACAGATATAACCCACAAAACAAAAAATGCTGTTTATAAATGAGAACTGACTGAAGACTTATTGAAAACCTTTATCGCCCCTGTGAAACGGTAATCGTCCCCTAAACCTGGGCCACCCTGGGCAGCAACAACTGCAGTTAAATGTTGGCGATATCTTCTGATCAGTCTTTTACATCACCATGGAGGAATTCTGGCCCGCTCTTCTCTGCAGAATAGTTTTAATTTAGCCACACTCGATGGCTGTCGAGCAGGAAGTTGCCACATCATCTCAGTTGGATCCAAGTCAAGGCTTTGACTCAGCTACTCTAAAACCTTAATTTAGTTCTTTTTGAGTCATTCAGAGGTGGACTTGCTTGTGTGTTGTGGGTCATTGTCTTGCTGCATATCCCATCTGTGCTTGAGATTAGGTCATAAACTGATGGGTGGATATTCTCCAGAATTATGACTCCATCAGTTGGCATCAATTGATGGACAACATGGTAGTGGATGTTTGGGGCTGCTTTGCTTTCATCGGATGGGTGGACTCCATCAATTGATGGATCCATCCGGTGAAAGCAAAGCAGCCCCAAACATCCACTGCCACCATGTTTTACTGTTGGTGTCACGTTCTTTTTGTGGAATGCAGTATTAGCTTTACGCCAGATGTAACAGGACCCATGCCTTCAAAAAGTTCCAACTTGGACTCATCAGTCCACAGGATGTTATCCAAAAACAGGGCTCCAGACTGTCACCAAAATGATCGCATGTGCAATCTTTTTTTTGAGAGTGTGCGACTTAAAATTTCAAGTGGTCACATTCGTGCTAGTGAATGATGATCATGAAGCTGTTTTGGTGTCACTCTAACCAACGCAGGAAGCTTAAGTGGAGCAAAGTACAACTTTTATTTCTTCCAGGGCGCTGCCAGTCTGTCACTGCCTGATGAATAAAACAAGCTGTTTAGCTGCTGCGCGTTCTTTAAATAACATCCAGGAAAGAGGAGGCAGCGAGGGAGAGGTCCGACTCAGACATGCTTGATGATCAGAGCGCAGGTGGAGGCAGGAAACAAACACAATTCTTTTAATGACAATGGCAAAAATATTAGCAGGGCTGCCAAATTAAATAATGATTAATCACAGCTTCTAACAACTACATGAAACTGCGGTCTTTAGATTTAATGCAGCGCTCTGACATTACAACACCATATATCACTCTTTTCAAAGAAATTTTTGCTCCCAAACTTGTCTGAGAGTAGTACGCCCACCTCGCTGCCTACAATGTGAGGCGTTTAGGGAACATCGGCAAGTGTAGCGTCTATCGATAAACAATTGTTCAGCCAGTGAGGTGTCCTGCAGGTGCCCAGGTGGGAGGTGTGATCAACTGGGGACTAATGCAACTAGGGAGAAAATTAGTCTGGAGCCCTGCAAAAGTCCAGATTATTTTTGGCAAATGCTGGACCAGCCTTTATGTGCTTTTGGTCAGGAGAGGTTTCCAAGGCTGCAGTTCCTTTGATGTTCATCTGGGCAAGACCAGTTCTATTCAGGTGATGTTTAGATTCCACAAGCCTGGGATTAGTTATGAGAGTGTGGCTGGTTCATTTGTTAGATTGGTCGCTAAAGAGGGCTAGTACTTTCTCACATAGAGCAAGGTGCGGCTGGACAGCATTTTTCCTTCAGCAAAAAACATCATTTAAAAACTGCATTTTGTGTTTTCTTGGGTTATCTCTTGTCTTTTATCATTAGTTTGATGATCTAAAACATTTGCGTGTGACAAATTTAAAAATCTAAGATATTTGCGTGGTGGTTTTTGGTGACAAAGGCATGTTTTTCAATTATTCCATCACAGAAAACAAGGAGTGAAAGGAATCATCGATTTAGTTCATAACTGTATATGTGACATTCCTTGAAGCCACCTTGTTGGAATTTCGCTCCAAGAAAAAAACCCCACGATGCTCAAGCACTCCCCGCCACGCACAGTTACGTCGTATTGTGGTAATCCAGAAGTACCAACAGGTAATCCCAGTATGGATTATGTCACTGTCTGTATTTTTAGACAGGTATTTAATTGTATCACAATATATTTTTGCTTTAACTTTCTGCTCCTCCACATTGAAAGGAGCCAGTTGAGGTGGCTCGGGCATCTCTTTAGGATGCATCCTGGACGCCTCCCTGGGGAGGTGTTCCAGGCGCGTCCCACCGGGAGGAGACCTCGGGGAAGACCCAGGACACGCTGGAGGGACTATGTCTCCCAGTTGGCCTGGGAACGCCTAGGGGTCCCCCCGGAAGAGCTGGAGGAGGTGTGTGTGGATCGGGAAGTCTGGGCGGCTTTGCTAAGGCTGCTGCCTCCGCGACCCGACTCCGGATAAGCAGGAGAAGATGGATGGATGGATAATATATTTTTAAAGTAAGTCTGCGACCCTTGAAGTGTCCAAATCCACAATCCAAAAACCGTGAAGGGACTTTTGTGCCTATTTTGCAGGAACAATCTTTTGCAGAGACTTTGTGGTGCTGACTTCATGTGTGAAGATAACAATTTATTATGTCAACATCATTATAATAATGTAATAAGATGTTAACAAAATATATTGAATGTTCAATAAACATAAATACCATTTTAAAGACTATGTTTACAGTAAGTTTAGATATTACATACATATAAAATATACACAGGAATGGCAGTTTCATTCACATTTCCCAAACTAGCACAGCCTTGTATGTTTAAATTGGGTCTGCTACACCCGTCGATGCAGGACTGTCAGTGTCACTGTGCACTACGATGGTGATGCATCAACAACACACAGAAACCGAGACTCGTGGCTCTAAACGCTAACTGTAGCTGAACTTGCTGTTGACAGGAAGGAGCTGAATACTACAGTCAGTTCATTTCTGTCCTCTCTCCATGCCGTCATGTTTGCTAATCCACAAACTGGGGGTACACTTGTAGTGTACAGTGCAGGGCTGCAGAAACTGCGTGTGGCTAGCTCCCTTCAGCTAGCTGCTGCGCTCCATTGCGGCTCTATTTCTTGTAACGAGCCGCAAAATGACGCATTTCGACTTTAGCAGCACATTTGAACACTTACTCAGCTCAAATTAACGTAGTGGACACAACATTTGGTTCAGTTGGTACACGTTTACGAAGACTCCCGTCCCCTTGTTGTCATGTAGCTTCATGGAGAACTCACCTTGTCAAACTGGCTGACCTCCTCGTCGTCGGACCTAAATGCGGGGGCATGCACCTCCGTCACAGCCGCCGAACCAGCGGAACTGCTCGGCTTTGACTGGGAGACGAACCGAGCCGGTGGCTGAGAGAGTATTCGGGCAAAAGCCGGCCCGAACCGTGAAACTCGGGTCAACATTTTTACCCGTGTAAAGGACACAACTTAACCGGAACCGGAAGCAGTTCCCTTACCGAGCCTCCTTTTTTTTCTCCACCGGGAGTTACTTGGCACATTTCCGCCACCAGGAGGTCGTCGCCGGTACTGCAGCCTCAGCCCTTTATAGGGCACTCATTGAAATACTTGGAAATTTTAAAATTCAACTAGAGTGTTATTAGTGGATAGAGGAGAACTTTTTTCCCCCCTTCTTTTGACTATTAAAAAAAACAAAAAACAAATCTGATTTAAGCCAAACCATATACAATTCCTCGCCCACCTAGGGTTAAAAAAAAAATAAAAAAATCAAAACAATATGCGGATAAATTATTGCAATATAATAGAAATAATACATATAAAGTCGAAGAAACATTTATTTCCAAATCCCCAGACCTTCATTGATTGGCTGGATGGAGTCACATGATTCTTTTCTAAACGGCAGGGACAGACGTCACCTGATTCCTTGCCTGATAAAGAGTTATGGACTCTGCCACAGACGTGCCAAGTAAAACATCAAAACACAACTAAATAGTCTGTGTTGCTTAAGAGAGTTGTGTCCATACCCAAGCTAAGCCCACATCTTACGCTATAGTAGTTCACATCTTTTCTATGGGATGCACCCTGCATTCTTGTCAGCATTCTTCTTTTTTTTTGTTGTTGCAAAATTGTGACATTCAACTACCAATGGATCAGAAATTATAACTGGTTGACTTGTGCATTATCATTTTTTTGGTTATTGTGTGCTCAAAGATGGGAATTTTCATTACAGATTAACTCAATTTCCCCATATCTTAAGTCATAATCAGATTATTTGATCGACTTGTCAAATACACAGATTCTGAATCAATGCCATGATAAAAAAAATAAATAAATAAAAAAATAACAGCAATAATTTCACACTTTTATCTTTAATAGTTAATGAGATATTGTCATTCAAGTATAGCCTCAAATTTTATTCCTCAAAAAAACGTACAGAAAGTGGACGGACAGGCAGTTTTAAAAAATAAACATATTGAAAAGTATTTAATATACAGTGCTTAACCAATGTATTGGACCACCACCAAACTCATTCCTTATGTTTCTGTAATGTTTAATGCAGCAGCATGTAAAAGCTCTTTAACGTAAATGATAGTTTTAATGCTAAAATATAATTACTATGGTTATCAATGAATTTTCAAATGTACTGTTCTATTTTTTTTAAAAACTGAAGAAACAGTAAAGCACGTTATTATTTCTTGACTTAGATGTCAAATTATAGTTGTTTACTTGCATTCCTGAACAGAAAAATATGTTTTAGTGGTTGAATGCGATGCTTGATTCATTAATCAGAGAAGCCCAGTGGCTCAGATTTGGGTATAAAAAGGTGAATTCAGTTAGAAATTCCTTATTCCTGTTCAAAATGGTAGTACTGGCTGGACTACACCTAACAGGCCTTCACTATAAAACACTAATGCCATTGTGATATCATGTGTTCCCTTGTGTTTTCGTATCACACTGGAGTGTTTTTAGCGTTGGTCCAGATCAAATGATCTCAGCTTGGACGAGCTAACTGCCATAAAATTTGATGAGGAATCTCAGATTTCTAATCGGTGTTCCTTTGATTGTTGTGGCCTTCCAGTTGGGTCTGGACTATTTGGTCCACTGAAAAATGTCTCAAAAACTCTGACCTTAAATAAAAGTTCAGGTTTAGACATCCAAGCGACCTGTATAACTTTGGGTGAACTGCGGCTACAAGTAAAGACTATGGGTCAGGTGGAAACCTCGTGAGAAAGAAGAACAAATAAAGAAGAGGCAGAGACTTGGCCATCTTTGTCTTCTGTTATATTTTACATAGGAAACTGAACTTTTGTACGTCACTCACAAAGGGGTTCGGAGACGAGGGACGAATGATGATGATAAAAAACAAAACAAAAAAAGAATAGAAAATAAAAGAAAAACAATAGTTGTCTTCGGCTGCTGCAAAAAATCTGATTATTAGCACCATTAATAGTCAAAATCATACACATTTGTAAACCCTTTTATCCGTTGTAGTCTTTTGGAATCAGTTCAAAGACACAACCACATTTCATTGACTATTATTTATTTGTGTCATCTATACAATCATTAACATTGTTGTTGTGTTGTATCATTAAAAGGCTTAATGCTTGTGCACATATATAAGAGATAAACAAATTTTTTGTTTTATTTTACTTCTTTTTTTTCTTTTCTTTTTTTACAAATGCACAGATTGCCAGCTCAAAGTCTAGCCAATAGTCCGATTAATTCAGGTTGATTGAATCATATAAATAATTGCTGCTATACAAATGGAGGCAAACCAGAATGTCATAACAGTAGGAAGGATCTTTCTAAAGACATCACAATTGTTTCAGTGTCTGCCTAAAACAGAAACACTCCTAAAAAACAAGGAAAGGTATTTCCCTATTTGAGGTGGAGCCATCGGTTCTGCTTTACAGACGAGTGAGAAGAGCAGGAGATGAGCCAGCGAAAACCAAAGAGGTAAACAGCTCTGAGAAGAAAGCAAACTTTTACCAAGGCATGATACCCTCCCCAACTTTGTTCTGGCGCCCACATTTCCCTAAATGATGCCACAAGGTCCAGAACGTCAAGAATAAGCTGCTTGTGTACTATTAGAAAATCTTGATCCTGATCTTCTCACGTCGATAGAACATCTGATCCAAATTAGAAAGTTGACGATTTTACATATAACCAGATTTTTTGGGGGTAAAATTGCTAAAAACGTTAATAAGGAGTGTTGTCAGACCTGTAAAGTGCAGCTTAATAATAACTGTTTTGATATCAATGTCTTATTCTTAGATTCATGATTAAAAGACTGGTTATATGAGTATGATTTTCGATAACGACATCACATGAGCATCACGGATGTCCCACCTCGCCTGTCAGCGCACAACGTCTAGTCTGAACGCTTTCACTGCTGATGTGTTGTGGTCAAGTTTACCAGAGTGGAAGCACGGCGGGCTTCAACTTAAAACAAAGACCTCCATGAATCACTGACTTCGTGTCCTCTCTGTCCTGTAGTGCTTTGTTCTCCCGTCTCTGGTGTGCAGCTACGAGCCTCGCCAACCTCAGATGTGTTCGTTGCTCTCCTTCTGCTATCCTGTTCTCGCTAACCCTCGCCCTAACTGGCCGAGGCAGACGTCCGCCCGCCCTGAGCCTGGTTCTGCTGGAGGTTTTTTTCTCCTTCCTGTTTAAGGGGAGTTTCTGCTCAAAGGGAATAAAAACTTTGGATTTGGTGGGTTTCTCTGTAAAGAATCTGTAAGGTTTATGCGAAGTGCCTTGAGATGACATATATTGTGAATATATAAATAAAACAGATGCTGACCACGCTTTCAACTCTCCACCCTTCTACTGTTAAATTGTTCAAGATATATTCAGCTGGATAAGAACCAACTGGGTCACCTTTGCCTCGATTAGTTAAACCACATTAGAGTGAAATGGCAGCAGGAGGAGCATCTCTTAAACTTCCCACTGTCTCTGAGACGCTACAGCCATGCACAGGGCGTCTCAATGAAGCCGAAGCACGTCAATGTTTTCATAAATGGAACACAAACAGACAAAGAAAACAAAAAAAGCAATATGGATCCATAGGACCTGAGCATCCACGTGTAGACTGATTTCTTTAAAACTGCAAATAAGGCATTGGCCTTGGAGGAGGTCTGCACTTTCTGAGTGCCTTTATAATTGTATAAGGCGATATAATATCTTCTTTTTCCCCCAAGAATGGAAACTTATGTCTAACAAGAAAAAAACCAAAAAACATTTAGGAATAACAAGAATAAAAAAAATACTCATTGTAGTTTCAAATTCAGCCACTGAGCTACTTATTATCGTCTAATTGACTTTATCAGATGTTATTCACAGTGCCTATGAAAAGTATTCAGCCCTGTTCTCTGTTATTACTTTTCAACACTGAATCATGGTCAGTACAATTTAGCTCACAGTGAAAACAGACTTCTAGAAAGACAAATAGTTAATGGACTGAGGTCTGGGCTCTGACTCGTTCATCTTGTCGTTTCCAAACCATTTCTGCAAAACAAATCTTGCTTATTTGCAGGTCGTCCTCCTGTATTTTCCTGTACTGTGCTGATTCATTTTACTCTTTACATTTCTAAGTAGGCCTTGAGGCTTAATCTAAGGGCTAAGGGCAAAGAGGAAGCAAGCTTCCTCTTTGCTGCTCTCCCATGAACTTGACATGAACTTTGACTGTTGAAGAACCACAACAGTTGTGTGTACAGTCACTCCCATCTCAGTAGCTGAAGCTTGTAACTCACTGAGAGGAGCTATAGGTGTCTTGGTGGTCTCCCTCACTCGTCTCTTTCTTGCGTTGCCACTTAAACAATGTCAATCTATAAGCAGATTTACGCATATGCCACATCCAAGGGATATTCAGTGACATAAAAAAAATCTTGTATCCGTCCCGTGACTCGTGCTTTTCAACATCTTCTGCATAGACTCGCTTGGTTTTTGTGTCTTCATGGTGTAGTTATAGTCAGGAGCACTTTCCAGACATCTTTAAACTACAATCACTTAAGACAGTAATTCTCAACCATCCCATCGTCGGGCCACGAGCGCTGCCTACTGGACCACGAAAAATTTTCAATTCTGTAACTGTAACTGCCGCAGGACCCCCCAGAAGCCAGCCGCAATTAATGTAAACTATGGAGAAGTTTTTAAAAAGAAAAAATGAAGATGGAAGTGATGCCGCTCCGTACAACGCTGACTTTATCAAGTTTGGTTTTGTGAATGGAGGTAGCGAGGCAGAGCCGAGGGCCCGGCGTGTTGAGTGTGGGTCAACGCGAGCCAACAAAGCACTGAAGCCTTCAAAGCTACGGTGGCATCTCCAAACCAAACATCCAAAGCTAGTCGGGAAGCCGGTGGATTTTTTCAGGAGAAAAGAAAATGGGCTACAGCTATTATATAATTTATTTTAGAAGGTTTGAGCTTGTTAAACTGTAAGTGGAACTGATTTAGTTATTGAAGTCAAATCAAACCAAGACTCAGATCAACTGAAATGAACGTGTTCATATTTAAATGGCCACTTTGTTCTGGGAAACCTGGGGTCAAAAAGGTTGAGAATCCCTGACTTAAGACACATTCACTGCACTGAGATGATCTCCATTTCACTAATTGTGGGACTTCTAGCACCAGTTAGCTGCACTTGTGTTGAATTGGGCGAGCCACTTTAAAGGAGGTGAACACTCATGCAATCACTTATTATACTTTTGATATTCATTTAATATTAATTGACATTAATTTGTAGAAATCTGCTCTCCTTTTGACTCGAGAGAGTTGTTTTTTGTAAATTCTTCTCCAAAAAGCTCATTCAAATTGTTCAGTGTTAAAAAGCATATAAAGGGGAAACATCCAAGGGGGTGAATACTTTTTACAGGCACTAAACTGTCTGATTTCGATTAAAGCGACTGAATTGAATTTGGTTAGATGCTTAAAATGGCATCCGCTTAACATCCACCGAAGCGGAGTTACAGCTCACTCACCCACATTTCTACCAACGTCTGTAGATTCATTATTTAATTTAAACATCACCCGGCCTGTACAATATCACGCTGCAGACAGATGGTAAGAGCACAAACGAAACAACAAATCAAGGCGACAGATTGAAACATTATGAGGCACTTCTCTGCCAAAAGGTCGCACACCGGCAAATATTTTCTGTAACTGGCCGTGCCGAGTGGCGTCATGATAGCATGATGTCTGTCACACGTTGGTGAATATACTGAATATACAAGGAGCTCAGCTGCTACCTTCTCATCACAAACGACAGTGAGCAAGTATGAACACTGTCAAAATGTGAGATCTGCAGCTACATATTAAAATTTCCCTCTATTCAGATAAATATTCCCATATTTCTTTGAAATCTGAATACAGAAAACACGGCAAAAAGGATGTTTTTTTGGAGGGGAAACAGCGATAAACAAAGTGCTAAAATGAGGCATTGCTAAATATATAAAGTGTGCAGTAATCATCCAACTACTGCAGTTTGAATGTCCAGCACACGGAGCGTCGACAGAATGGTATTTGTACAATGCAGACCAACACCACACTGCTCTACAGTACTTGAGCCACTTCTTCTTTTTTTTAAATAGCATAATGTGGTTAGACAAGGCGACGTCAGCCTCGTCCTGTTTTAATTACACAAGTCTTTGATATGTAGCAGTGAATGGATCTGAAACTATTTCATACGTAACTGAAAACGTAACAAGCTTCATCTGTTCCTAAGGTGCCAGACCTTATTACAGCTGCATTCAAAAATATACTAAAAAAAAAAAATACACTTGTGGCTATATAAGATTTACTTAGCTATCGATAAACCCTCTGTGAAACAATTAATACGCACTCACGAACCCTCAGATGTTGTCAGCATAAATACACCTCACTTGGGATAATCATGTAACCGCTATTTTACAGAAGCAATAAGCAATTTTAGGAAGATTAAACATTTAGAATGGTTTGTTTTTTTGTTTTTTTTGCTAATGGCAGAGATAGCAAAAATATCAAGCTCATGGCAACAAGATTATGTGCAAGAAAGAAAGAAAAAAAACAAAAGACGTGAATTCATTCTGGCTTCTCAGCATACAGCATGAATAAATATGGGAGGTGGAATGCAACATCATTCTGGTTAGACGCCTCTCTCGGCACACTCCCATGCCAAAAAGTCCAGAAGCAAAGCACTTTGGATGAGTAAAAGGAAAGACACAGCCTTCAGAATTAAGTCTTGTTTTGGTCAAAGTCATTCTGATTTTCCCTCATGTGTTTTTACCGAATGTAGCTCCAGTGCTTTAGTTAAGACACTTATGTGGCTTATTGGACAGAACATGAGCTTGTAAAAGAAGACAATAAAAAGGGCAACACAGGCTAAATGCACCAAGCGGCTAAACCTTTGTGGGTTCTAGTGAAAGGCAGAAAGCCACACTGGCTAACCGTCAAATGCCTGAATCACAGAGTTTAACATTTCATGCATCAGCAACCTCAGAGGATAGGATGAGAAATGAGGTTCTTTCATCCCCGCTTCGAGGACAGACAGTAGAATAAATAAAATATTATGACTACAGACATATGGAATATATGTATTCAGGCATATACAGTGAGACAATTATAAACAGCAAAGTTCAACGTTGGAAGCCGTCTACAACAGACACACCTCCAACAGGCCACCAACACTCTACTGAGGAGTTCACTGAGGTTTGGAAGTCGGTGATGCAGGACAGAATCAGAACGTGGGCGAAAGGGAAACTTGAGCTGTTGGGGAGGGTATGGTGGTTGTAAGGTTGTAGGTTGAGTTCAGAGATGACGGCTGAGGCGACGCTAGCGGGCTGTAAATGGGCCTGGGGGAGATGGTCGAAGAAGGGGAGTGCTGAGCAGCCGTCGCTGTTGTTGGAGAGTCCGAGCTCACCTCGTCCCCTTCTTCCGAGTCCCACACTTCACTCTGCAAGTAGTCCGCAAATAAGGCCTTGGCTCGCTGCAGCACCCGGCTCAGGTTGTGCCGTCGCACAAGGCGATCAAAGTGCATGGCCAGCTCGTTGTAATCCAAGCTGTTCTTGATGATGTGGTCCCGGTGTTCCAGCAGGATCGACAGGCACAGAAACAGCATGAAGGGATTGCCTTTGCCAAACTCCTGAGGAGGCGGCAAGGAGCATGGTTTGATGCTGGTGCTCTCGGCTTTTAGAGAACTGGGCGTGTTATCTGTGGTGCTGGGGGATTTGTTGCCAGGTGAAGGGAGATTGTTGGAGGACAACCTGCTGCCAGACAGTGAGGGGCCCTTTGCAAAGGACAAAATGGGCGAAGAGAGCAGCAATCTGTTCTGAGTGTGAGAGGGAGATGGAACAGATGTTTTTACCGTCGGGGTCACTGGCGAGTTGATCCCTGCACTGCTACACACTTGGGCAGAAGAAGCCAATGCTTTTGGGACAGTTCTTGGTGAGGCCTGACTCCCATTAGTCGTAGACGGGGATGTGGATTTTACAACAGAGTCTGGAGAAGCACCTGGCCAACTGGAGGGTGACGCTGAAGATGTAGGAGAGACAGCCTTCCAGTTTGGGAGGCCACTAGAGAAGAGAGGAGAAGATGACACCAGAGAGAAACCATTGTCACAGGTTTTAATGAGAGGTGTTTTCTCCCCTGGGTCGTCCTCGCTGTCGATTGTGGACTGACGTCTCGGGACGCTCGTTACCGGCTCTGACGCCACCGACCCCTGCGGCTGCTCGCCGTCCTCCATATCAAAGCTGTCTTCATTTCTTGCCGTATAGTATTTAAACTCTCCAAAACTAGTTTGCCTTTCAAAAGGACAACCCTTTTCCGTGGTCAGAGCAGGAACATCGCATTCACCACCAGCACCTTCCTTTAAAATACTTCCTCCATTTTGCTCGTCTTTTGCTTCTGTGACAGCGTTTCTGCTGACATCTGGTTCTTCTCTCGAAGGCCTCAGCATATGTCGTCTACGCTGTTTTTCCTTTTGTTCCTTATCGTCTCCGAAGCAGTTCTCGACCGTTTCTTTCTTGTCTCGGCAGGACATTTGTTCGTTGGTCTCCAGCGGCAGCCCCAGAAGCTCCACTTCGGTTTCAGGAGGATCCGGGGGCAGAGAGCTCCAGGTAACCTCCAGCATCCTCAGAGCGTCATCGAACGCAAACTCTCGCTTCAGTTCCAGAAGCAGCCAGCGATAACAAAAGAACAGGTCGTCGGCTCCTCGGGACACCAGGTAGGAGTAGAATTCAGGGTCTGAGTACTGCAGAAGCAACTTGAGATGCTGGAACTTAATGGACATGAGCTGTCCATCTGGCCGAAAGTTTCCCTCCAGGCGTTTCATGATGCCGCAAAAGCAGATGAAGGCATGAGCTTCATTGTCCATGACCGCAAGTATAGGGGAGGCAATGTCACTCATGCCTTGACAGTACGATATCTGAAAAACAACACATCCGCACAAAGTTACAAAAGTCTACAGTTTCTGTTCAAGAAAAAAACTGAATTCTAAATCATGTAGGTTTTAACATGATTTTACAGATAAAATCAGTTTTCAGGTAAACCCAGTGAAACATCAACAGCTGTCCTTTAGTCCAATGGCAAACCAGGGGACTTCATTATCATCTAAAACAAGAATCTAGTGAATGTGCTACTGTGCCTGATGACATTTTTTTTGGACAACTACAACAGTTTAATCATTTGACACCAACTGGTCCCCACACTGCATCCTTTTTTATATTTATTTATTAGTTATCTGTGTTTGCTTGCACCATGAGCAGTTTGGCTTTGTTGAATTTATTATCGTGGTAATCGGAGGTTTTCTTCTATGAGCTCCACATTGTACAGGATGCCTAAATGCTGACATTTCTCGCTTTCTGGTTTGCCACTTTTGCCTAAAACAAGCTCTACATTAAATCTATTCGGACTTTAAAGCTGCTGAGCCTGATCAGCATTCCAATGGTGAGTCTTTTTTTTTTTAAATTTGCCCAAAACAACGTAAAAGCCTATCTTTAATTTTTAGAGAATAGAATAGAATGCCTTTATTGTCACTATACACATGTACAATGAGATTAAGAGCAGCTCCTTCAGTGCATTATTGCACACCTGTCTTTATTTTCTTTATTATTTTTTCAACATTTTTTATGTTCTGTGGCTTATGTCTCTCTAATTTAAACATCAACATCAAAAGGGGTTGCGCAAAAAACTCGGTGAGCTGGACCCTGTGTAAATACTGTAAGTTAATTTGATGTGTCATGAAGCAGGTTTTTTAAAGTTCATACTATATCCCCTCAGTAAAAATCAAAGTAAATTTGTCCTGGAGTATGTGAACAGTTCATATAATCTTATTGGCTACATCACAAAAGTACACCCATCACCAGATAATTTACAGTTTCAAACCCTTTTGCTTCAAGCAGATTCCGCTTCACGTTCAATGAAATGCTATCACAACTCCTCTCTACGCACCTGTGGATGCGTGATGGCGAATGTGGTGAGCAGGTCAGTGAGGGCAGTCAAATGTGGGCTGTCTTCCGAGCCCGCATAGTACGGATGAGCCCGGTCCGTCCTCAGCACGTCTTTCAGAACGTTCCCGCGGATAAACTCGAGGTCCTCGTTGCTGACTCGGGCCGTCCACTCACTCTTCAGCTGGTCATACTCCCTCGTCTTCCTCTTCATGTAGTCCATTCTTTCCTGTCCGCTCAGCCCGTCGGGGTAGACGTTCAGGAGGTAGCGCCAAACCACCTAACACAACGCAAAGGTTCATCCTCAAATGATTAAACACAGTCACACCGTATAATTTATAGAAAAATCTGCATTATTATAACATCATTTAAGTGACAACTAGCTCTGCTTGCTAGGAGTCTGCAGAACAAGGGGCTAGTATGTACTGTTGAATAAACACTAAACCTTGCGTAGTGACGGTTCCACGCCACCGTGGTAGATTCGCAGTCTCAGTTCCTCAGGCCGAGTCAACTGGCCCTGTCCATTAAGGTAACTGTGGAACTCAGCGTCACTCAGTGGAGGCTTGAAAGGCTTGATCTCCTCCCCATAAGACCAGCTGAAGGCCTGCTGGACTCTGGACAGGGTCCGGCCCACCTGAACAGAGGCGAAACACGCACATAAGCAAAGGCTTACAGAGGCTGGGAGGCGGAACGGACCATATGAAGAAAATGAAGGAAGGTGAAGGAACCTGGGAGAGTAGAGACTGGGTGAAGGGTAGAGCCGCTGAAGCCAACGACCTGGTCTTCTCTGTGAGAAGCTGCTCAGAGCCAATCACGTCTTTGGGGCTGATGATGTCCCAGTCCTCCATAACAGGGCCTGCAGGTGATCAAACAATAGCAGATGCAACAATCATGTATTTTAGGTCATCGCTATTTTTTTAAATCCCCTTCTTACCATTTAAGGGGCCTGAAACAGGTTCTTCCTGTTCATACTGACCATTAAAAGATAAGAAGTGATGGAGACACAATGCTTCACCTCATATCTAAGTAAGTCTTTCACAGTTAAGGCTCAGACACAGCGCACATATTCACCCAACTCTAGGCTTCATGGTTTCTGTAAAATTTTTATTTACAGTTTTCCTTTTGGGTTGTGTTAGTTGCTTCAGGGACACGCTGGCATTCTTACTCTCTTCAGACGGCTTGATGTCAATCTTGAGCTGCAGATACGGTTTAGCTGCGCTGACAAATGCAACGTCCAAATCCCAGTCAGACACCAGCGACAGATACACTTCAGCGCCGCTCCGATCCCGAGACAGGTAGCTGATGCTGAAATTCCGCTTCCTAATTTAAAAAAAAAAAACAACGATAAAAGAAATGAATCAATAAAACAAAGGGGGGGAAATGAAAGAGAGACTCTGATCTACAAATTATAACGTCAACGTTGCCTCTGACAGTCTTCATGTCTACACAACAGTTCAGCCTGAGTTATCGCTCTTACCCGTTCAAATCAAAGGCTCTGATAAGTATGTGCTGCAAGACCTCCAGCGATGTTATCTGAGGATCGACAGCAAACGAGCGAAACTCCACAGGTAGCGCCGCATCACATTTCTGAAACACACATAAGTTAAAAAAAATAAATAATCCTGACGGTGTGGGTGGAATATGGAAGCAGGAGGCAACATCACAGTCAAGAATATGGTAGAAAACCATAAAACTAGTGTTGTGTACTTTATAACTGAGTGTATGTGCTGTTTATTTTAGGATGATTTAGGAGGTTAGCATATAAGCATTGATGCACTGTTTTGTTATAAATATCACAAATTCCAACTGGGAATATCACAAAATGTTTCTGCAAAGATTGATTACTTTGTTTTGTCAGTTAGTTGGTTCGTTTTTTTAATGCCTGACATCATTTCCATTGTGTACTCCACAGTGGAACATCCATCAACAAACCAATGAAAAATGGAGCCACGTCAACCTGAAGGCTTTAAATTTAGTATACTGAGTGCTACTATCAAAGTATTCCAATGTCAAGTTTATATATAGGATACATACATGTGTAGAAACTGCATATGTAGTATTGCATATGGACCCCATTGATAATGGACCCGGGGTCTATATTCAACAGCGGAATATGGACCCCTGGGTTAGGGTTAGGGTTGTTGTTATTCACTACCTGTTGAATTTTGTTGTCTATGTTCATATTTATTTATATTATTAAAATTACTAGGGGGGGTCCATATTCCACTGTGGAAAAAGGACTCCGTGGTCCAAATTTTATGAGGATCCATTTACAATCTTACACATATATTAGAATTGAGAGATGCGATGTTGAAATAATCTGTAAAATATGAAAACACACATTTTCAGAAAGAAACTTGTAGTAGGAGTATCAAAAAGATGAGTTTATTCGATCACAATAAAACAATGACAGAACGTTCGAAACCATTAAAGTTTAGCTCCACCATTTCTATCAAAGTTTAAATTTAATTCTGTACTCCCAGTGCGAACGAGGAAGAACCAGGTTGATGTTTTCTTTGTACCAGCTAGCTGATATGTTGGCTCCTTTTTGCATTTGTTTTTCTCCGTTGGTACTAAACATCACACAGTTAGTGAAATGGAGTTCATGTGGGTAAATGTGTCTGGAAGGTCTAGCCATTGATGAATCGTTACTCAAACACAATGAAGACAAAAAAAAAAAGAAACCCTCCAAGCAACTCTACGAAAAGGTTATTGAAAAGCATGTTGCATAAGATTTATACAAGAAAATTTCCAAGTCACCTAATATCCCGTTGAGTACATCTGACTGTATCGTAAAGAAATAGGAATATAGTCCATGTGTAAATCCGCCCAGAGCAGCCAGATTATTACGTTGCAGATGCTCCCTGGAGCCACAGCTGTTTTCCCACCATCCCGAGGTTAGTATTGAGGATACAATCACCTACAAACAGCTAGAAACACCTGGTAGTTTAACTTGACAGTGAACTGGAAGTATAACAGTGAAGCTGTCTACAGGAACAGACGGAGCAGACTTGGTCCTTTGAGGAAGAAAAGCTCCTGTAACATGTGCAGACCAAAGCTGTTGTTGCGAGAGCACTTTTTTTTCCAGTTATCTGTTGAGGCAGCAGCGTCAGAGCCAGAGACACTAAGAAACTGAATAATCTGATAAAGACGACTAGAAGACGATAGATCCGACAGGCTTCTTCAACTGTGCTTGGAGTAAAGATCGCTCCAGACAGTAATTCCTGCACACTGCAAAAATGCTGTGCAGTGACTTCCCTCTGTGCAAAGACAGACTTATCTTCCGAGAACTTTGCACATGGAACTTTATCTTCTACAGTTAACTTTGCGTTGCACAGTCAGAGTTTTTACTGTGTTTCAAATTTTTTTTAGATTATTCTGTTCATTTTTATCAAGTACATATTCTGAAAGTAGCGTTTTTTGTTTGTTTTTTTTTACGTGTGTTTCTGTGATACGTAAACTGATGCTGCAACACTGCAATTCATTGTATTTCTCTTTTGAAAAGTACTGTGGGTCAACGTCAGTCACTTGACGTAACTAAAATGAAGCATATTATTATTGCACATCTCAAGTGTATTAATTCATGTTTATGTTCCCAATGCGGTGTTAAGAGGAAATAGCAATCCCTATACATCGGCTCGATCCTATTCATCGGAGTCATTATTTGGAAACGCTTTTTGTTCTTTTGCTTGTTTTGCTTAAGTTGGTCAGTTATGATCCTAAATCTTTTTAAAATTTGTTTTAATGTATAAAAAGTTATAGTATGTTGTGTTTTTCTTTTCACATCTTCTTTCTGTAATAGCGTGGTCATGCTCACAAAGTCATCCATCCATCCATCATCTATGCACCGCTAATCCTCACTGGGGTCATGGGGGGCTGGAGTCTATCCCAGCTGACTCAGGGTGAAGGCAGGGGACACCCTGGACAGGTCACCAGTCTATCACAGGGCCACACTTAGAGACAGACAACCAAGCACACTCACATTCACACCTACAGACAATTTTAGAATCACCAATTAACCTCAGCATGTTATTGGACTGTGTGGGAGGAAGCCGGAGAATCCGGAGAGAACCCACGCTGCACGGGGAGAACATGTAAACTCCACGCAGAAAGATCCCGGGTGTCCTCACCGGGACGCGAACCAGCGACCTTCTTGCTGCGAGGCAACAGTGCTAACCACTTGCAGCCCCTCACAGAGTCAATTGAAGGGAATTGACTTAAACAGTATACAGTACATCAAGTCTTGACGTCATACACGGCGGAGTTAAAGGTCGAGAGTCACAACAGACAGTTTCCACCAGTCTGAAGTCAGCATATGTTTTCTCTTTTTCCCTTAATTTTTCAAAGGTTAAAAAGATCCCCTTTAACACAATGCAAGCTCAGAGGTCTTTTCCACATGCACGCACACACACATATATTCTCACTCACACACATACTGTACTTACATATATTAGAGGATTTTTTAGCTGAGAAGTTCGGCAAAGTATATGTTCATTTGGACGGGACGTATGTTTGACTCAATTTAACTCTATTTTCTCCAGACCATTTTATTACAATTTTTAAAAATTAGTTTTTACACAGTTTAAAATAGTTTTAATTACAACAGGGAAGCCTTTAAAAATGCTAGACAGGCAATCTGTGATCCCTGTTTATGGTCCAAGTTGTATTTTGTATAAATTCTAATGTAAATCAGCATCAGCTCAGTTGTGCGCTGAACATAAATCAGATGGCCAAAAACAAAATACTCATAAAAAGTCAAATACAATGGGGAAAAAAATAAATAAATACAGGACAATAGTTATTATTACGGATCTATCAGATATTCTGACTGCCAGGGCTGAAACTGCCTTACAGATCATGACAATCCTCACATGTCGTACCAGAAATGTTGCTGATGCTCAGTTACTTCAAGAATTTAATTAAATGTTAGTATTTTATATTGTAGGCTGAATGCATTCAGACTCTGATAAACATCACCATCAACCACACGTGTAGAATAAACCCATATAAACTCAATATACACAACGATTAACTCTCTGTAAATCAACTCAGGTGAAAAGTTTCTATCAAACGTCGTGTCGTTGAGTCAACATCTAAACCGAGCAGCTGTTGGATCAGCTGAGACATCATCGTGCCTTGAGGCCGTGCAGTTGTTTGTGTGTGTGTGTGTGTGTGTGTGTGTGTGTGTGTTTGACTCATTTCGAACCAACCTTCTGTCAGCTCAAGCCTGTAAATAAGGGCTCACTGCTTGTTTATTGATAACGAATGATATCAGATGACTGTCAAAGCGTGTTGGTATAACTAGCTGCTCGAAATAACCTGATAGATTATTGATTAGCACCGCCAGCTCTCCCACCTCTGGAAAGACAACATTCAGCGACTACAAACAACGTCGAGCATAAACAAAAACTGACAAATACACAGGTGACCACTGGCACCTTTTCACTACTCTGTTCGGTGTCGCTAGTGTTTTTGTCGACGTGTAATGTCAGCAAAGGAGTGTGTTTGACAGAGAAATTATTCAACAGACGAGAGAGCTACATACGAGCGGTCGCAAACTATGTGTTGTTCGAGCCCCCGGTCAGCCTACCTTGACTTTGACACGAACCACCCCCCTTTCCTCCTCTCCTGCCATTTTAAAGGCTCCGTTTCGGAACAGGACGGTTCGGCCGAGTTTTGTTTTTCTTTCTACACCGACGTGCTGATCAATAACATGATGGAGCTAACGCTAGCCACAGTTTCTTTTTCTGATGTCATTTAGCGCAGACTTCGACGCAGCGGCGACGTGTCACTGCCCCCTACAGGCCGTTTGGAGAATAACATTAAAAAATAGAATAGAATAGAATAGAATAGAATAGAATAGAATAGAATAGAATGCTTTTCTTGTCATCACACACAAAATACAATGAAATAAAAAAATAAAAGAAATTAAAAGACAAAAGCTCAAAGTTACATCTTAAATAAATAATAATAAATAATAAGTACAATAAAACAAAAATCACATAAAGCAGGTATGAACGCTATCATTTCATTGGCTTTTTAAAAAAAAAATTTTTAAGTGATTTATTTTAGATCCTGAATTGATGTAGTTGTGTTTTTAGGTTCCGTCGCCATGGTTGACGGCTGCATTGTAATTGACTTTGGTCTTAAATACAAAGTGGCCTTTTTAAAAAATATATATGTTTACCCTCTTTAAGATATTTGGCTCAAGCTATATGTTATATTAGTTTTAACATAAGCTACTTTTTATTCAATACATTTTCCACAAACATGGGGAGGACCCAGATAGACCCACATCGTTCAGGGCCAGAATTAACTTTATTTGCCAAGTTTGTACACGCAAACAAGGGATTTGAATCTTCGGTCTCTGTATAAGAAATAGAATATATAAACTAAAACAATAAAAATAAGAGTAAAGAACAATGAAACTAAGAGTAAACAATTGATAGCAGTATTTATAGTTTTATATTTAATAAACTTCAGCAGCTATATGTTGTATTTATTCAAGATTTCAAGACCAGTAAAATGTTTTTAACACCTGTTCCAGACCGAAACAATAATAATAACAATAAAGAATAAAAACACACAAGAAATAAATGTATACATGAATATGTTATATATAGAAATAAGCAAAAAATGCATAAAGTATCAAATGAATAAATCAAATGTCAAATTTTGCAAATATATATATATGTACAAGGTGAAAAGTAAACATTTTGATTGTTTATTATTGTCTATTTCTAGGTGGGGTAATTTTTATTTTATAAATATTCCACAAATATGAGAATGGCTGAAATAAACCTGCGTAGTTCTATATTTAATTAAGTTCTGCAGCTATATGTTACACTCATTTCAATGTTATTTTATACAGGGTATTTTCCTTTTTATCATAATCACTGCTTTACATGCCAGTGTATTTATTCTGCTCTTCACTGATTCTGATTCTGATAACAGTTTGATATTGTTTTAACAGGTAAAATAGCAATAAATTCTTAAGAATGATCTTTACTCTAGTTCTGTAATTTCATAAATGCGATAAACTGTAGTTTTTGCATATATAGTATAACAATATATTAAACTTTATAAGCTGTAATATTAAAAAGCCTTTGCAGCTCAAGAGGTATTTTATTTGGTGGAAAATGAGACAAAATGGCTCTTTAAATAGTAAAGGTTGCCGACCCCTGGCGTAATCAATCCATCAAACGATCCAGCAGGACACTTCCGGTCATGGGACTGTCTGATTTGGTGCATGCTGGGAAGTGTATTTCTGGAATGCTCACTTCTCTTTACTCTCTACACAACAGGAAGTCGATCGAAAACTACAACTCCCAGGAACATAGCTGCTCCATTCGCTTATTACTTCATTTCCACACTGAAAAAGACTAATTTCAGATTCCTTAGTTTGCACATAGGTGTGGCGAGGCTCAATTGTTAGGGGATGCAAAATACGTTAACTGTATGAAAAGCTAATTTGTTGAAAGGCGCTTCAAATGCACCGGAGACTCACAATTGTCTGTGTTTGGCAGCTGAAGACTGGCAGTCTTGCTAATTAACTAGTTGCTAGTTTGAAGCTAACAGAAGATGGAAGATAGTTGTGTAGCTTGCATCCGTCCGTTGGAAACCTACACGAATATTAGCTAACTGGATGTTAATAAATCGCGCCCGTTAGCTAGCATATCTTCTGAGAAACTTCAGCGATGGAGGAAGTTGACAAAATCCTGATTCACGCCCTCAAACAAGTCGGCACGTAAGTACCACCAACGGCGTTTAATTACCTCCAAGTTGTGCAACAGTATAAATTCATTGCAAGTTACGGAACTAACATGCTAGCTCGCTAATGTTAAGTTTGATGATTAGCACCATCTCCTAGTGACCCACCACGAGTCACATGATCGTGGGTGATTTGAGGCAAAGTTGGTGAGCCTGCTCTAATTAAAAAGATGTGACCAGCTGTGTAATTGTCAGGAGCTTCATGTTGTATTTGTCCACCACAGAGACTTGAGCGAGGAGACTGACAGCGTCAAACAGTTCAGCAGTGAGCTGATCGTGGAGGCGGTGGTCAGATGTATACGGGTGATCGATCCGGCCCTGGGCAACGCGCTGCCCACGCTGCTTCCTCACGGCATGTCTGCCCGCTTCAGAGTCGGCATGAGCCTGGCACAGGCCTGTCAGGTAGGACACCTCCAAGATGCTGGCCAGGCTTGGTTTGCAATGAAGGGAGCTGGCAGCCCCTTGTGATCACGATTGGAACAGTCCCAGCACTCTGAATAACTCCTAGTTGGCTGGTGTATACAATTATTTGTTTCCTTCAGTGGACATAAACAGCAATTGACATCATTGGTGCAGCTCAAAAAATAGAATACTGTGAACCTTCATAGAATCTATATTCTATACACGTAATGTGATATATTTCTTTTTTTTTTTTGTTTTAATTTTGGTGATTATTTCTTAGAAATCTAGCACCTTATATTATTGCAATATTTCCAAAGTATGCATCAAATGGTTTTGCTATACAGAAATATCCAGCTCATGAAAAGTATGTTCATTTGTACACTCAATACTCGGCAATGCAGCGGTCTGCTGGTAAACCTCGGGTCTGTACATTCACATGGATGTTACCTTGACATCCACCTAAACATCGTTCCAGACCAAGCTCAAGGTGTTGACCTGGCCTCAAAAAACACCTGAGATCCTGATGTGATTGAGCATCTGTGGGGTGCGCCAGACTGAGTCGGATCCACAGAGGCTTTTTGTTTTTAATTCTGATGATTATGGCTTTTAGCTCCTGACAAACACAAATCTGGTATATAAAAGTATTAGAATATGTTAAGATAAGATCAGTCAAGTAAAGGCTTTACATTACAGAAATGTCTGAAAAGTATGTTCATGTGTAAACTCAGTACTTGGTTGGGGCTCCTTACTGCATCAATGCTGTGTGGTGTGGAGCTGATCAGTCTGTGGCACTGCTGAGGTGATACTGATGCCGTCTGTATTTTTGGGTCACGTGTTTCTCATTTTCCTCTTGACAACACCCCCTATGGGGTTCTGCAGGGTTTAGGTCAGGGGAGCTGACTGGCTAATCAAGCACAGTAACATCACGGTCAGCAAACTGTTTGGTTGTTGTTTGGGTTCTGCTCTTTGGACAAGTGTTCAAGTCCTGATGGAAAAAGGAAATCAGCATCTCTGTAGAAACTGTCAGCAGATGGAAACATGAATTGCTCTAAAGTCTCCTTGTACATGGCAGCCCTGACCTTGGACTTGATAATACACATTGGACCAACAGCAGCAGAGGACATGACACCCCTAATCATTACAGACAGCAAAAACTTCACACTGGACTTCAAACACCTTAGATTCTGTGCCTCTCCACTCTTCCTCTAGACTCTAGGAATTTAATTTTCAATTGAAATGCTAATTTTACTTTCATCTGAAAAGAGGACACCACTGTGCAACAGTCCAGTCCTTTTTCTCTTTAGCGTGAGACGCTTCTGACGTTGTCTCTGGTCCAGAAGTGGCTTGATGTTAACGATGCGACAGTTGTGGCTCCTTTCATGAACATGTCTGTGCTTGGGGGCTCTTGATGCACCGACATCAGCCTCAGTCCTTGTGAAGCTTTCCCAGATTCTTGGGACAACAGCCAGCCTTTTCAGGAATGACCTTCTGTGGTCGACTCTCCTTGTGAACATTTTTACTGTTTGAATAGTAATATACTCAAGCATGAAATAAAATCTTCTAAAAGTTTGAGATTCCTGATGTCTGATTTGCATGAGCTATAAGCCATAATTGTAAAAAAATAGAACAAAAAACAGGCTTGAGATATCTCACTTTACCTGTAATGAATATAAAATCTGTGAAAGTTTCCCTTTTTGAATTAAATTACAAAGAAAAAACTTGTTCACCATGTTATAATTTTTTTAGCTGCACATTTTATGTTATGAATTGATCCAAGAGGGAGTTATAGTCAGGAAGACTTCCACTAAAGACAACGTCAGGATGTTGGTTGATTCTTCACTATAATAACAGTCGTGTCAAATAATGCTTACTAGTAGGTTGTCCCTGGACTTGCAGTCATTTCTCATGGTCTTCCTAATCTGATGGAATTTGCTTAATGGAAAATAACAACTGACAAACTCAGCTGATACCGAATCAAACTACATCCACAAAGAAAGACCATGAAATGTGGCTGAGAGCCTGTAAATGCCACAAAGTGCCCTTGAGTTAAGATCGTCCTTAAATTAGGTAAACCTAGGTTTAGGGTGAAACACTGCCTGAGTAGAATCCCTGATTTGTTAAGCTGTTGTTTTGCAGGACATTGGCTATAAGGGAGAGATCGGCTACCAGACCTTTCTGTACAGCAGTGAGCCAGAGATCCGCTCCCTGCTCATGTTCCTGGTGGAGAAGCTGCCCAGAGAGCGTTTTGAGGCCTCAGACCAGCCATCAGGTACAAAGAACACCAGTCTGTCTGTTGCATCCTCACAACCGCACACAGCCTCTACGAGGGTTGGGTATCGTTCAGATTTTTACAATCCTGATTCCGGTCCCGATTTTAGCTCCTAACGATTCATGATTCCTTGAGTTGAGGTGGTTATCGTCACTACAGCAACAAAATTCTGCTTTTATATTAATGAATGAGTAATAACAATAGAGTATAATATACATGATAGCATAACCACCACAGGACATTTTTCTGAGTACTTTTACTACCATCGTATATTTTCCTCATTAGTAAAGGATCTGCGGGCTGCAAGGTGGCGCAGTTGGTTAGCACTGTTGCCGGTTCGCGTCCTGGTAGGGGCACTGGAATCTTTCTGAGTGGAGTTTGCATGTTCTCCCCGTGCAGCATGGGTTCTCCAGCTTCCTCCCACAAGGTCCAAAAACATGTTGAGGTTATTATGTATTATCTACACACCGCTTAATCCTCACTAGCGTTGTGGGGGGCTGGAGTCTATCCCAGCTGACTCAGGGTGAAGGCAGGAGACACCCTGGACAGGTCACCAGTCTATCACAGGGCTACACTTAGAGACAGACAACCAAGCACACTCACATTCACACCTACGGACAATTTAGAATCACCAATTAACCTCAACATGTTATTGGACTGTGTGGGAGAACCCGGAGAGAACCCACGCTGCACGGGGAGAACATGGAGACTCCACGCAGAAAGATCCCGGGTGTCCTCACCGGGACGCGAACTGGCGACCTACTTGCTGCGAGGCAACGATTCTAACCACCGATCCACCTTGCAGGCCAAAGCAGAATATAGGCTCTTTAAAGTATTTTTTTTTAAAAAGTGACCTGCTCTGCTTTTCAATTTCAGTTATTTGAGTAAACTGAATTTCTTAGAGGCAAGAACAACCATAATTCTTCTACTGTAATATAAAAAAAAAATAACATCAGGACACAATTTAAAGACTAGATCGTGTGCACTATTAAGGTCCTTCCTGCTTCAACACTTTGAGAAAAAACACTTGTCAGAGTGAAACCGAATCAAACAGTATTTGTTAATAAAATCTCTCAGGATCTTCTCATAATTGTTGGAGCTTGTTGGATAATATTAGTTGATTAAAATTAGTCAGTATGAGGTTATATAAAAGACATGAATGAGCTCTGTTGGCTGTCACATAAGATGACGCTGACATGAAAGAGGCATGCTTTGTTTTTAATCACGTACCGCATATTTGAGCCGCCCACAGCTGTCATCTCTTCCTGCAGGGAAATCCGCGGTCCTCCAGAGAGCCATCGCTGCTGCAATCAAAGCCCAGCTGGCTGTGCCCTGGCTACCTCCAAACTGCAGACTGCCAAAGTACTGTGAAACGCAGGTACACCTTCCAGTGTTCAATTCTGGTATCGCAAGAAAACTACATACGACTACCAATACATGGGGATGTGTCGAGTCAGCAGGATCAGGAGAGTGGAGGATCCAGGCCGGTTCAGATGTTCCTGTTACTGAACAAATGTCAATGCCGCTGGCAAATGGGGCTCATGGCTATTGTAGTATTTACAGTCATCTGTCATAGCAAGCTAATGGTAAAACTGCTTTGATAGCCTCCATCTGTTCACTGAATTATCCAGAAAATCCATCCATCATCTATACACCACTTTATCCTGTTGGGGCTGACCTGGGGCAAAAGGAAGGCTACATGTCATGCTTAGACGAGGCAAATTAAAATCACCAGTTATCCCAAGCCTGTTTTTGGACTGTGATAGGATGCCAGAACACCCGGTGGCACGGGGGAGAACAAGCAAACTACTGCACAGAAATGCACCTTAGTGTCCCAACAAAAGCCCCTAGAAATAAAAAATGTTTCTATAGATCAGAGAATCTCCAACTCCGGTCCTCATGAGCTACTGTCCTGCAGGTTTTGGATGTTTCCGTACTGCAACACAATTGACTCAAACATCTAAAACCTGCAGGACAGTAGCTCATGAGGACCGGAGGTGGAGATCCCTGGTGTAGGTGCTTCACTGTTAAGATGTTCACTTCACTGTCCAGAATGATGTGCATGCAGTTTGTTATCTGCTGCAGGGGGGAGTTTGTGTGTCTGCCCACCGTGACCTCTGTACCTCACACAGTGCGACATGAAAAAATGTGAGCTTCAAGGTCACGTGCACTGAGCGTGTACTAGTGTGAAGTAACAGACATCTTGTGCTTTTAGATTTCCTGTCTGTCAGCATGACTATGCAAAAACTACCAAGCCAGTTTTTATGAGACGTGGCGGACGTGGGGGAGAGGGTCGAGCACGAGCAAAGGAGCAACATATTACGTTTCGGTGCAGATCTTGTTTGGGTAGCTAGTGTAAGTGCCCTTCCAGGTTTTGTGTGGTAAAGCCCCTGCACCGTAGGGCTTATGTGTAACAAAGGAAAGCTGCCTGGGCCAATGGCCAAGTTAAAACTGAAACCAAGTCAGGATTAGAGCACATTCCATGCAAATCTTGTATAAAACTTAATTTCTGACCTTTTTTTCCTGTTCAGAGTCTGTTAGCTTCGCACAGCTTCCACGTCCAGCCCCTCAGCTTACCACACTGCACTAAAGACCCCGACAAGAAACACCTGAAAGGTAGGCGTCTTACTGCAGGCCCTCACATGCTGCATGCATTGAACTGATGCAAGTTTCATGCAGAGTTTGTAGTCTTATGGACTGTAAATGACTTGGTGGTTTGTGCAGATGTTTAGATAAGACACTAAAAACAATTCTGGGATTGAAGAAATGCAATCTTCTTGGGTGCCGTTCAGTTCACTATCAAGTTTCTGGGGAAATCACTGAAGAACAACTCTTCACAGAAGATGTATTCTGAAGGAACTGGACTATCTGTGTGTGTTTTCAGAGGTGAAGGACTACCAGCGGAACGTTCTGTCTCCTGTGACGGCCCAGCTGTCCAGTCGCACCTCAGTGGTGTCGTCCATACTGGAGCAGCACACGGCCGAGCTGAGTGCTGCTCAGGAGTGGGACAGTGAGTGGAACAGTCAAGGGCTGCTGTCTCGCCTCACACCACAGGCAAATGATCACACTCTATATAATCACACTTACATTTCAGAACGTTTTTTTACTTTGTTGTTCCTCAAGTGATTGACTGCCGGCCATGCAGATGTACATACATGTGTACGTACATCTGCGTGTTGGGCTTGTGTATGACCAAAAAAGAAAGGTTGGGGAAAACCAGTTCACAGATTTGAATTCCCTGTGATTGCACACAGTGTGAATTCAGTATAATGTGCATTGATACAGCATCAGTACAACAACATTGTGTCATGCTCACCGCTCTGCTGAAAAAACATTAATTGTTCATTCCTGCACTGAATAATTCCAGCCAAGTAGAATTTGTGATAGTGACTCTTTCCATCCATCAATACAGACAGATAGACATACATACATATATATATACATTCATTGTATGTATGTCCAAGAATTGGTAAAGTAAATAACACTGGTCATCTCGTCACAATGCAGCGGTCTGCTGGTAAACCTCAGGTCCTGACATTTATATGGATGTTACCTTGACATGTACCACCCACCTAAACTTTGCTCCAGACCAAGCTCGAGGTGTTGACCTGGCCTCTGAACTCCCTAGATCTTTATGTGATCGAGCATATGTGGGGTGCGCCAGACTGAGCTTTGAGACTTTTTGTTTTTAATTTTGATGATTATGGCTTTTAGCTCCTGACAAACAGAAATCCAGTACATCAAATTATTAGGATGTTTTCTAAGGTTGATCAAATAAAACCTTTGCAGAACAGAGATGTCTGAAAAGTATGTTCATTTATAGACTCTACGCTTGGTTGGGGCTCCTTTACGATGAATTGCCGCATCAGTGTGACATGGAGTCAGTCTGTGGCTCTGCTGAGGTGTCACTGAGTCAGACGTTTCTTATTTCTTCTTGACATTACCCCTGATGGGTTTCTGCCGGGCTAGCTAACCAAGCTGATGCCAATGGTTGCTTAGCTTGTCTCTGTTTTTGAGTTTGAGGTTTCTCATCTCAGGGAAGAAACTCCTGAAGTTGTCTCTGGTTCAGGAGTGCCTTGATATTAAGAATGTGACAGTTGTAGTTGACACCAGCCTCAGTCCTTATGAAGCTCTTCCAAGTTCTTGAATTGACCTTTTATGACAGTCAACTCAAGGTTGCGGCCATCCCAGTAGCGGTTAGACCTTTTCCTACCACGCTTTTTCCCTAACAGTCAACTTTTCATTAATAGGCTTTGACACAACGCTCTGCCAACAGCAAGGCTTTTTTATTAATGACTACCAATGGCCTGCCATCCTTGTAGAAAGTGTTGATGACTGTCTCTTGGCCAACTTTCAAGTCACTAATCTTTCCCATGATTGTGGTTGTGTGAGCTGAACTAGACTGAGAGATACACGCTATTTATACTGTTTGAATAGTGATTTCCTCAAACTAACATAGTCTAACAACTGGAGATAGTAGATTTCTCATTTTTATCAGCTTTACGCCATAATCATCAAAACAAACCACAGGTTAGGTTATGAACAAACATAACTGTGCCAAAGTGGCCCTGGGACACTGAACCCCAAGTTACTCCCAGTGGAAAGTTGTGTGAGCGAGTGAGTGACATGTTGTAAAAGCACTTTGTAGAACCAACTGAAACTGGCGCTATACAAGTGCAAACCGTTTACCCTGTACACCTGTACCTATACCTAACCAGGACAGGCCGTTCTGCCAGTGACCATGTTTGCTCCATGTCTTTAAACAGGAGTACCGTTCCAGGAAGCTGACCCGGCTGCGTAAACGCATTGAGGAGCAGCTACGTTCTGCTGCGCTGCCCTCTGCTGAAAGTGCCTGCGGTGTTCCTGCCTCGGCCTCTGATCTGTCCGAACTACTGCACGCCTTCAGAGGCTCCGCCCCCTCGGACCACGTCCTGACCAAGAGCACCCACTTTACCCACACGCAAAAGTTCACCTTTACACAGGTGAAGTGGAAACAGCAGCGTTTGAAACAGATGTGTCTGCAGCGAGAGTTCAATCCAAGTTTAATGTTTAGTGTGTGTGTGTGTGTGCTTCAGGAAGCGGCAGCAGTGACGCACTCCATCCCCACCGGGCATCAGTTAGAAGGCGACGTCCAGCTCCGCCAGCAGGAGGAGCTGGCCGCCCTCCAGGAGCAGTTCCAGCAGCTTTGCACCGACGTGGAGCATCTGTCAGCAGACATGAAGCTAATGAGCGTCACTAACGCACAGGTAACAAACACGTCTAAGCTAGCGGGCTAACGGTTAGCCGAGACACGAGGTCCCACTTGTTGGCACGAGCCTTCTGCATTGGCTGGAGCTCCTTCGACAGGTTTGATCAAACATTCCCTCAGCGGAGCTTCTG